TGACTGGTTGAGTCAGAACCACAGGTCTTTTCCTGGTCCAACATCGCCCTCTGCCAGATGTTGCCTGTAAATACACTTTTTTAATTTTTGAAAATTTTATAGGTACCCAATTTGTGTCATTTCTTTCCCACCCTCTCCAACTCCTCCCATGTGCTCCCCACTCTTTTTCAAAAAAATTCATGATCTCTAACTATTATTATTAAATATACGTACTCGCATGTACAGCCGCAGAGTCCATTTAGGGTTACTTGTTGATATGTTTAGGGCTGATTGCTTGGGATTGGATGAACTTTTGGGAGCTCATTCATGGAGAAGACTTGAGTCTCCCTCCCTTAGCAACCACTAATTGCCTATAGCTCTTCATCTAAGAATGAAGCTTGTTAAGTTTCCCTTATCCACATTGGAATGCCAAGTGGAAGTGTACTCATTTTTGTTGTTTCTAGTTTTTTTTTAATTTTTAATTTGTATGTATAGTGTTATGCCTGCTGCCTACAATGCCTTGAAAGCCAAGAAACAACAATACCACAGTCCGACCTTGCCTGTGCCTACTGCTTTTCTCCTTTCTGTAGTCATGAATTATTGGACCATTTCACAAACTTATCCTGATTCACCCACCCTGAGAATTGTGCCCAGGAAAAGAATCTTCTCTGCCACAGGGCTCAAGTTTCAGAAAATCCAAGCAAAGGCCTCCTTATAAGACTGACTGAATTACAGCAAAAATTCAAGTCTCGTTATGAGAGGGTCTCAGAGTTCAAAAGAAGGGCATTAGTTGTTAACAAATGAGATCCTGTAACTTGGGGTGGAGAGATGTGGGAGAACCCCATTGAGGCTGAGAACTTTGAGCCCTCAGATTCTCAAGGGTTTATCTCACGTCTCTCCAACCCCTGAAATACTGCCTTTTCCACCTTTGACTGAGGAAATTAATCCTTCATTGTCTGCTAAACCACATCTCCCTTTAACTCTCTTACCTGGCCAGTGCAAAAAAAAATGGATGGATCATGGATATGGACACTTGACTATCAGTAACTCAGTCATGTAGTGACTCCAATTACAGCTGCAGCACCAGATGTGGTGTCCTTACTTAAGCAAATTAACATATCTACTGGCATGTGGTATGCAGCTATTGATTTGGCAAATGACCTTTTCTCAATAACTATCCATCAGGACTGCCAGAAGCAATTTGTTTTCAGTTGGCAAGACTTCCAGTATACCTTTACAATTTTAGCTGAAGGATATATAAACACCAGATCTGTGTCCAAAGAAATCTTGATTGTTTCACAAAAACACCACATTGGTGCACCATATTGATATTATGTTGTTTGGACCCGGTAAGCAGGAGATAACCACTTTGGACTTGGTAACATATATGTCCATCAGAGGATGGGAAATAAATCCAACCAAAATTCAAGGACTGTCTACCTCAGTGAAATTCTTAGGAATCCAGTGGTGTGGGGCAGGCAGAGGTGAATCTGCCCTTCCCACCAACAAGCAAACACAGCCTTTAGTGGGGCCATTTGGATTCTGGAAACAGCACATTCCTCACTTAGATGTGTCATTCCTACGCATAGAACCAAGTGTCTGGGAAAGCTGCTCACTTTGAGTCGGGGCTGGAACAACAGAAGGATCTTCAACAGACCTACTGCAGGAAACAATGGTTAGAGTCTGTGACTCCCGGGGCACTGTGTGCCTTTCAGGTCCTGAGAAACCAAGGCACCCCCTCAGGCAGTGAATGAAGCATTCAGGCCACTTTGTCTTTCTCTGTATGTTCCTTTGGAAGTTAAGAAACCATGGAAATAAAAAAAAATGAAAATGGAAAATGAAAAAAAAAAACATGGAAACTTGATAGAAAGTTTATCTTAGACATTAATCGTGGGTATACCCTATATAGTTTGCAAATGTCATTTTTACCTTGGCAACTACAGCTATATTGATCCTGGCAATTACCACTATATTCTGTTTCTGATAAGGGTATAAAAAGTCTGATTGCTTTCGTAAAAACTGTTATAGTCTTAGCCTTGCTGGGGCCTCTCCATCCTGAGTCTGAGGTTTAATTCCTTGACCAGCCCCTATCAGGTAACATTGACCCAGTAAGTAAGTACGGATTCTCTACCACTTAGATCCAGCAGACCTAATGGTTCCTGAGGTATCAGTAGCAGAAAGACATGCTGTTTGGAGCCTTTTTCGGGCCTCTATAGGTGAACTACAGAAGAGACCTTTGGGATTTGGAGTCCTGGGATTAAAGGTATATGCCACCATTCCTTGGCCAATATGGCTGACTAGTATGGCTGCTTTGCCCACTGATGCTCCGACAAGCTATATTTATTAAAACACAAATAAAATACCACTATAGCTTCTGACCAAAGATCTCACTTTACAGCCAGAGAAGTTCAACATTGGGCCCATGATCGTAAAATCCACTAAAACAGCAAGCCAGATAGATTAAATGGTCTTTTGAAGGCACGGTTACATCAACAAGATGGTAGCAGCCTGGAGGACTGGGACAGAGTTCTCCAAGGGGTGGTACATGCTTTGAATCAATATCCAATATGTGGTATGGTTTTCCCCATAGGTAGGATCCATGGATCCAGGAATCAAGAGGTGGAATGCACTCACTGTTACCCATAATGACCCACTAGAAAAAAAAATTGCTTCTTATGATACTGAGTTCTGCTGGACTACAAGTTTTGGTTCTAGAGGAGGGGGGAGGGGTGCTACTGCCAGGAGCCACAACAAATATTCTGTTGAACTCAGACTTCCTCTGGTCACTTTGGGCTTCTGATGCCCTCAAGTCAACAGGCTAAGAAAGAAATAAGTGTTAGGATGGATGAATGGTCCATATTTTTTTTTGAGGGAAAATTGGATCGTTCTCTACACTGGAAGTTAGAAAGATTATGTCTGGAGTCCAGCAGATCCTCTAGATCTTGGAACTATCATGTCTTGTGATTAAAGTCAATGGGAAACTATGAACTACAACAGCCTAATCCAGGAAAGATGACAAAGGGCACGGGCCTTCCGGAATGAAGGCAGTGGGTCATTCTTTCCAGAAAAGAGCCAAGACCTGAAGAAGTCCTTGCTGAGGGAGGAGAAAATCCTGAACGGGTAGCAGAGGAAGGTTATAAATACCAAAATACCAGCTAAGGCCTAGAGACCAGTAGCAGACACAAGAATTATAATTGACATCAGTGTTTTATTGTATTTTGTTAAGAATGTGCTTTTACAGATATTTGTATTTTCTTTCCTCAGTTTCTTTTCATGTGGTATAACATCAAGTAAGAGACTGCCTGTGGTTAAGTTTTGAGATATCAAAAGAATATGTCCCTCAAGGGATATTATTACCTATTCTAAAACATTTTTGGTTGTAGCTATATCATGTTAGGCATAATTATGGCCTAGTTAAATATATAATGCATTTGTAATTATTCAAGGGTTAGTTATATCATGTTAGGTGCAATTATAACCTGGTTATTGCTTTTATTTGGAAATTAAGCTTGACATAAGGAGATATGGTTGTGTGTCAAGTTGATAAGGAGTGGACTTGTAATGTCTATTCTTGGTTGTCAACTTGACTTTATCTGGAATTAACTAAAAGTCATATGACTAGGCATGTCTGTGAGGGATTATTTTCTGAATTAAATCATTTGAAGTAAGAACACCCACTTTTCATCTGGATCTTTTGAGGTAGGAAGAGACACCTTTAATCTAGGCCATACTTTCTGCTAGCAGATTATATAAAGGACATGAAAGAAGGAAGCTTTCACTCTTTGCCTGATTGCTTTCACTAGCAAGTCCATTCCTTTGCTGGCGTTGGAGCCCACTCCTTTGGGATTCTGACATATGCTGAAGACAAGCTGAGGCATCAAGCCTTGTGGAATGAACAACTACTGGATTCTTGAACCTTCTATTGGGAGATAACCATTATTGGACTAGCTGGATAACAGTTTATAAGCTATTCAGATAGATAGCTCTATTGGGGTAACTATTGCTGTGAAGAGACACCATGACCACAGCAGCTCTTATAAAGAAAACATTTAATTGAGGTGGCTCACTTACAGTTTATCATCATGATGGGGAGCATGACATTGTGCAGGCAGACATGGTGCTGGAGCGGAAAGTGATATATCTTTCAGGCAAAAGGAAGTCAACTGACAGTCACACTCCTAAAGGAAGCTTGAGCAAAAGAGATCTCAAAGCCTGTCTCCACAGTGATGCACTTTCTTCAATAAGGCCACACTTAATAATGTAATAATGGCACTCCCTTTGGAAGTCATTTTTTTAAATCATCATAGATGATAGATAGATAGATAGATAGATAGATAGATAGATAGATAGATAGATAGATAGATGATAGATTCATCCTATAACTTCTGTTCCTAAAGAATCCTGACTGAGATGGCTCAGAGGTTAAGAACACTGACTATTCTTCCTGAGGTCCTGAGTTCAATTCCCAGCAACCACATAGTGGCTCACAACCTGTTCTGGTATACAAGCATACACCCAGGCAAAACACTGTATACATAATAAATAAATAAAAAAAAGACCAGGAAATCAAAGTGGCTGGATTATCTAGCGAAAGTAAGAATCCTGACTAATATAGTTGGCAGAGAGCATTGGTTTTCAAGCTAGAAACACTGCAGAGATTGGTTTCACAATAATATATGTAATACTAATTAACTGTACACAGAAACTGCTAAAATGAAAATTTTTATGTATGTTTTAAAAACAATTTTAAAAGTCATTTAGGATGTTAGTAGGCCAGCTGGCCCAGACACTCAGAGGAAGAGGTCCTTGAGTCGAGCACAAAAGTACAGGTTTATTGGTGGCATGCAGATGACACTGCCCTGAGCTGCTTCTCTCCGTACTTGATGACAGAATTCTCTCCAGTCTAGCTGTGGAAAGTGGGAGAAACCAAGAATATTTTTGTTTGTCCTATTGTTAAAAAAATGACATGCTAACATACTCCCTTAGAATGTCCAAATGAAGACAAAGGGCATGTTTGGGGTTTTCTACAATCAGCTTTATTTATGTAGGGGTATTTACAGCTTTAAATCTTGCCTAGAAAACTTCAACAAAGCAATGGAAACCTTCTAAATATATGTCAGTATATAATTAGGATACTCATTTTCTGAATTTATAAGAATCTGAAATGTTTTCATATGAATAAGAAAGTTTTACCGTATGACAAGGGAAATAAGTATAACAGAAACCATCTACTGAATTCTTTACTTCTTTTGACATAAATGAATAAACAAACAAATAACTATGGAAGGAGCTGTGAGTGGTCACCACTGAGTGCCTGCGCCTGGCAACACTCCACAGGCATCCCACATTCCTTCTCAGCATAAGCCAGCCTTGGCCATTGGCTATCGTCCAATCAGGTCCAAAATGAAAATGAAAAGGTTGATGATGTCCACATAGATGTTCAGAACAGCAAAAATGTACTCTTCGGGGTCTATCTCATAATGGTAGTGCCCCCCAACCATCATCTGCACGTCCATTACCAGGTACTAGAAAAGGAGGAAGAATCTATTTAGATTGGATCTACCAAGTAGGTGTCCTAAATGTTGTGGGGAAAGTTATTTTATCATTAAGAAAAATGTAGCAGAGTTGGTAGAGTACTTGAATGGCATACATAAAGCCCTGGATTCCAGTCCATGTACCACACATGCCTGCAATTCTGGAACACTGGAAATAGACATAGGAAGGTCAGAAGCTCAAGGTCATCATCAACTACATAAGTTTGAGGCTAGCTTGGGCTACATGAAACTATCTCAAAAGATAGGGAAGGAAGGGAAGAAGGAAGGGAGGGGGAAATTGAAGAAAGGAAGAAGTAAAATGATGCTGGAGGTCAGTTGTAACTGAATACATTATTAGAGCTTCAACCACTGTTGAAGTCATCATAGTTTGCACTCTGAGAGCAAGTATCTCATCCTCCTGAAATGCACAGTACCAAATCTGTATACTTCCTTTGCACCATTTGTGAATGATGTGCCCTGTATCAAGACCTTCCCATGCTCCTGCTGGAACAAACCAAAGATGCTTCCCAGACTCAGTGTAAGGACTGTTTTTTAACCCCATCCCTAAGGACTGTTTTAAGAACTTAAATCACACATCAAACCTCAAACTTCAAAAACCTGTACTCTACAAAATTGGAAAATCAAAAAGAAATGGACAATTTTCTCAATAGATACCACTTATCAAAGTAAAATCAAGATCAGATAAACAATTTAAATAGACATATAACTCCCAAGGAAATAGAAGCAGTCATTAAAAGTCTTCCAACCAGAAAAAAAAGCCCAGGGCCAGGTGAGTTTTAGTGCATAATTCTACCAGATTTTCAAAGAAAAGATAATACCAGAATTCCTCAAATTCCACAAAATGAAACAGAATTGTCAAATTCATTTTATGAGGCCACAGTCACCCTAATACTCAAACCAAAAACTCAACAAAAAGAGTTACAGACAAATTTCATTCATAAACATCAATGTAAAAATATGCAACAAAATACTTAGAAACCTAATCTAAGACATCAAAAAGATCACCATATAAACAGACTGAAAGGGGAAAAAATCATCTCATTAGATGCTGAAAAATCTAATTTTGCCTTTGATAAGATGCAACCCCCTTCATGAAAATAGTCTTGAAGAAATCAGAGGGGAAAGAGACATACTTAAACATAATAAAAGCAATATACAGCAGGCAGACAGCCAACATCAAATTAAATGGAGAGAAACTTAGAGCAACTCCACTAAAATCAGGGACAAGACAAGACAATGTTGTCTACACCCTCCATACTTATTCAATATAGTACTTGAACTTTTAACTAGAACAATAAGACAGCTAAAGGAGATCACGGGGATATGAACAGGAAAAGAAGTCGAAGTATTGCTAGATGATATTTGCATATAAGATAGTATACATAAACAACCTCAGGAATTCTACCAGGAACACATTCAGCAAAGTGATTGGATACAAAATTAACTAAAAAAAAAATTAATAGTCCTCCTATATACAAAGAATGGGTTGATAAAGAAATTAGGAAAAAAACACTCTTTGCAATAAGCACATATAGCACAAATAATAAAAACCCAGAGACAGATATTGGGCAAGCTGAAGATCAGAAAAGCAAAGAATCCAAGTCACTAGAGAGATCTTACCTCTACCAAGGCTCAAGGTGGCGATCCTGACCTCTGCATGACTGAAGACTGCAATGCTCTCCACCAAACCTCAGACTGCAATGAGCTCTTGTCTCCTGCCTCATATACCTCTCTCCACCTAGCCTTATCACTTTTATCTCCACCTCCCTAGTGCTGGGAGCACCTCTGTGTGAGTTTTGTTTCTCTTTTTAGACAGATGCAATCTCATATAGCCCAGGGTGACCTTGAGTCCTGGGATTAAGGGTGCACACCATTACCTGGCCTGTAGTAGCTTAGCTCTACACTCTGATCTTCAGACAATCTTTATTTAAAACAAGTAAAATATCACTATAGCCTCAAATAATATAAAATATTTTGGTTTAACCCTAACCAAGAAAGTGAAAGACCTGTATGACAAGAACTTCAAGTCTTTAAAGAAAAACATTGGAGAAGATACCATCTTCTGGTAAGATCTGCCATGCTCATGGAGCAATAGGATTAATATAGTAAAAATAATACAGATTCAAGGCAATTCTTATCAAAATTCCAATACAATTTCTTACAGACCTTGAAGAAACAATGCTCAACTTCACATGAAAAAAAAAACTAGGATAGCTAAAACAATCCTTATGATAAAGGAAATTCTGGGTATAACCATCCCTGATTTCAAGTTGTACTACAGAACAATAGTAATAAAAACCACAGTGTTGACATAAAAAGCAGACAGTTGATCAATGAATCAAATGGAATCAAAGACCCAGAAGTAAATCCACACACCTATGGACATTTGGTTTTTGACAAAGAAGACAAAATTATACAATGAAGGGGGGAAGCATCTTCAACAAATGGTGCTGGTCTAAATGGATATCAGCATATAGAAGAATGCAAATAAGACCCATATCACCCTGCACAAAACTCAAATCCAAGTGGATCAAATACCTCAACATCAAACAAGATAAACTGGACCTAACAGAAGAGAAAGTGGATTAGCCCTGAACACACTGGCATAGGAGACAACTTCCTGAACAGAACAGCAATTGCACAGGTACTGTGATCAATAATTAATAAATGGGACCTCATGGAACTGAAAAGCTTCTGTAAGGCAAATGACACTATCACAAGGGCAAAATGTCAGCCTACAGAATGGGAAAAGATTTTTATCAATCTTTATTTAGATATAAATGTCTAATATCCAAAATAAACAACGAATTTGGGAAATTAGAAATCATAGAAACAACTATCCACTTTTAAAATGGAGTACAAATATAAACAGAATTCTCAACAGAAGAAAGTCAAATGGCTAATAATCAAAGAAATGGTCAACAACATTCTTAACCATCAAGGAAATGCAAATCAAAACTACTCTGATAAGATTGCCTAACAATATTGGGAGCATGGGGGTGGGAGAAGGGAGGGCAGAAGAGAAGGGGGGAAAACTTGAGGGAACAAGGTAGATGGGATGGAGGAAGGACAGAGATGAGAGCAAGGAAAGAGATATTTTGATTGAGGGGGCCATTATGAGGCTAGCAAGAAACCTGACACTAGAGAAATTCCCAGGAATCCACAAGGATGACCCCAGTTAAGACCCTAAGCAATAGAGGTGAGGGTGCCCGAGCTGGCCTTGTCCTGTAGTCAGATTGATGAATGTCTTAAAAAGTGTTACCATAGAACCAGTTACCAGCAACTGATGAAAATAGAGGCAGAGGCCCACATCAGAGCACTGGACTGAGCTCCCAAAGTCCAGTTTAAGAGTGGGAGGAGTGAGAATATGAGCAAAGGGGTCAAGACCATGATGGGGACACCCACTGAAATAGTTTACCTGAGCTCACCAACTCCAGACAGACAGAGAAGGAACCAGCATAGATTCAAACTAGTCTCTCTGAATGTGGTGACAGTTGTATGGCTGGGGCAGACTGCAGGACCACCGGGACTGGCAGTGCCATCAGGATTTATCCTTACCGCTTGTACTGGCTTTTTGGGAACCCCTTCTCTTTGGATGGATACCTTACTCAACCTAGATTTAGTAGGGAGGGCCTTGAACCTTTCCCAGAGCAATGTGCCTTACCCTCTCTGAGGATTGGGTGGAATGGGAAGAAATGGTGGAGGGAAGGGAGTGGGTGTTGAGGTAAGGGTCACTTGTTCTTCCCAGCCACCAACTCCAGCCAGACAGGGAAGGAACCAGCAAAATACCAACTCAGAAAACCATATTACTTGCAATACTGTTTGGCCAATAGCTTAAGCATATTTCTGGCTAAACTCACATCTTAAACCCACACATCTCTATTATTCTGTATATCATCATGTGGCTGTGTCTTACCAGCTAAAGTTCCCAGTGTCTGTATCAGGCAGTGGATCCATGATTTCTCCTAACTCTGCCTTCCTCCTCCCATGCTATAGGCCAAGCCAGTTTTCTTTGTTCATTAACCAATAAAATCAACACAGGACACATAGGACAACACATAGACAGTTCCCACACCAAGTGGGAAGTGGGATTGTATGTATAACAAAAAAAGATAGTTTATTTTCCTTTTGAAAAAAATAAATTATTAAAAAAAACTACTCTGAGATTCCATCTTGCACCAGTCAGAATGGCTAAGATCAGTAACACAAGTGACAGCTGTGCTGATGAGGATATGGAGCAAGGGGAATACTCCTCCATTGCTGGTAAGAGTACAAATTTATATAGCCACTATGGAAATCAATATAACAGTGTCTCAAAAAATTAGGATCAATCTACTTCAAGACGCAGCTATACCACTCTTGGTCATATATCCAAAAGATGATCCATCTTACTACAAGAACACTTGCTTAACTATGTTCATTGAGTCTATATTCATAACAGCCAGAAACTGAAAACAACCTAGGCACTCTGCATATATGTCACAGTTGTGTAACTGTGGGGCCGAGGCTGCCTCTGACTTTGTTGCCTGATTTGGGGACCTTTTCCTCTTTCTGGGTTGCCTCATCCAGCCTTAATAGGAAAAGCGGTGCTTAGTTTCACAGCTACTTGACATCCATGGCGGGGGGGGGGGGGGTCTGTCCTTTTCCGAAGAGAAATGGAGGAGAACAGGGTGGGCACAGAGGCAATGTGCGGGGAAGGGACTAGGAGGAGAGGAGGGAGGGGAAACTACAGTCAGGATGTAAAAACAAACAGTGCTGGAAAGGAAGCTAATGGGGGGTCACTTCAAACTTGGTGACACTCTCAGCACTCAGGCAGAAGCAGGCAGATCTCTCTGAGTTCAAGGTCAACCTGGTCTGCACAGCAGGTTTCAGCCCAGCCAGTGTTGCATAATGAGACCTGTCTTCACATTTTTCCCCTCAAAGCCTGAGATGCCTCAATAGGTATAAGGACTTGCCAAGGCATGAGAACATAGAATCAAATCCTCAGTACTCATGTGTTTTTTTTTTTTAAATCATGAACACCCATGTGCCTGTAACTCCAGAAATGTTGAAGGCAGAGAGCAGAGTTACTAGAGCTTACTGGCCATAGGCCCAGGTCCAACATCAGTGAGAGACCCTGTCTCAAAGGGATCAGGGGAAACAGTAGAGCAGGCCCCCACTGTCCTCTGGCTCCATGCATGCATTCCAGCACACACACATTTTTTCTTTTTCTTTAACAACTCCAAGGAACTTTGAAACCCCAACAAGTCGGTGTCAGTAGGGGAAACCTTGCCTGACATGGGAAAGGCCCTGAGTATCATCCACAGTGCAACACACACCATTTTTTAATGCTATGAGAAGTATTGATAAAAAGCATAAGATAGAAAAACTCGGGCCTAATGAATTTGACACAGCTCTGCTAATACCCAGAGACCATTGTTGTCAAGTAAAAGGCTAAGGTAAAATATTTTACACCATGTGACCACCTCAGTATAGGGGGTTATGCGGTGATGTCTAAAGAAACTCCTGCAGGGCTCCTAGAATCTGCTCTCAGTCTTTAACTCTGAGCAATGGGGAGAAGGGAGTTTTGCATTTCCTTTTGCAGTCCACCCTGTTTGAATTTTTAAAAATATCCACGTGTATTACTTTTAAAACCTTATAACTGTAAAACTGTGACAGCAAAAGACAATACTAAACAGAAAGAAAGGGGTTACCAGACACATCTGAAAGGGCCTCTACCGGCTCTCTCCACAGCTTTGGTATAGAGAAATAAGAGACTGGTCTGAGCAAATGAAGCCACACTGTGTGACAATGAGCACTGAGGCTTCTACACAATCCCTTCTCTTCTCAAATATTAACTCTTTGAAGGTGATAGTTTCCTGTTTTTGTGAAATAACCCTTCCACAAAGGATTGAGTGGAATAGTCCTTCAGTACACTGGGGTTGGTTTAATAGAGAAGCTACTGGCCAAGGACACTGGGAAGAAGGACAGAGTCAGTGGAGTCGCTGTTTAGACTCTCCAGCTGCAGGGATGGAGGGGCTGCTCCAGATCCTGCCCTCAGCACACCAAACAGCAGCTCCCAGAGCTGCCGCATTCCCGACTCTATCCCGTGTTCTCTTTTCCTGCCTTCCTGAAGGCCATTCAGGGGTGCTTTGCTTTTCATTGCCCCGTTTATAAAACCTGGATTTATTAATTCAGTTTGATTTGACTTGTTGCATCAGCAGCAGAGGAACCCAGCAACCAGGGATCCAACACTTATTTAGTCACCAGCAAGATGAAAGAGAGGTAAGTTCCATGTAGCAGAATGTAGATTAATAGAAATGGGTTAATTTAGTTGGAAAAGTTAGTTAGTAACAATCCTGAGCTATCAGCTGAGCATTTATAAATAAGTCTCTGGTAGTTATTTGGGAGTGGCTTCTGCCTACATTGCATTTTGTGTTTGTGCTGTGTTGGGGGACGAAGCTCAAGGTCCTATGCTAGGGAAGCAATCTACCCCTGATGTACAGCCCCAGCCCAGGAATGTGATGATTTCATAGATAAGCTCTGCTGAGTGAATTGTTGGAGTGTTTCTAGTGAATGGTTGACTCCACGGACCAGCACCAGGCCTGGAAATGTGTACACCATGGTCTTCAGCAGTGAGGGAAAACAGTACCTACCATGGAGAAGATCAGTGTTCCAAGTGCTGAATACACCAGATGTAACCACTGCACAGAAAGAAAGAGGTACAACTTAACAAGATTGGAGTGCCGGAAGTGCTTCCATGAGTCACTGCCCTCAGATAAGAACCCATTATGAAGGCAGGCAAGCCTTTGGGAATTAGCCTCTTCTCGACCTAATCACCAGCATTGCCACTTTATTACAATAAACATTCAAAGTACATGCAGATCTTCACCATCACTAAGTGAGCACTTCAAATTCCATGGGGGTAGTGTGCGGACAATGCATTACAAATGCTCCACTTCCCATCCCATTTTCAACAACTGGTGCGGGAGAATTGTCTGTATTCTGTCAATCATGTTATAAATAAACACTGATTGGCCAGGCAGAAAATATAGGTGGGAAAACCAGACAGGAAGTAGAAATGATGTAATGAGAACAGAATTCTGGGAAGGAGGAAGTTGATTCCTCTCAATCCTGCCCAGACCACCAAAGCAGCAGGATGTGATCTGCCCCACTGAAAAAAGGTACTGAGCCACATGGCTGACATAGATCAGAAAAATGGGTTAATCAAGACGTGAGAGTTAGCCAGTGAGAGGCTAGAGCTAATGGGCCAATCAGCTTTATAACTTATAGAGGTCTATGTGTGATTTTCTTTGGGGCTAAACAGTTGTGGGAAACTGGGCAGGACAAAAACCACAAACAAACAAGCAGGCCTGTCCCCTCCATGTTACAAACAACCCTTCTAGAGACTCTGCCTGCCCTCAGTCTGTGGCCTGAGTGGTTCTGGAAACACAATGATCACATGCTCCCTATGTGGAGAATGTGAGGAAAGAAGCCCCTGCAAGCAGTGGGGAGGAGCGCTGCTGGGACCTGCAGTTGGTCATGTCTGTCAACAGGCAATTCTTGACCTATACTGTACAAGTAGAAATAACTAGTCACCCCAGGCTCATAACCAAGGTGGGATTACTGGTGCTAGACTCTTAGGTCCTTTTCAGGCCTATAAAATTCCTAGAACTTTGCCCAAGCCAATCTGACTGGTATTTTTCCCTGATCAGAAAATATGAGACACATCTGAACACCCAGGGTTTGGCTCACATGGGAAGAAGATAAAGCAACACACAACACCTGAGAAAAATGTAGCATAAACTCTTAAGGAGGAGAAAGGTGGTCCCAAGGAGGACTGGCAGAACTCCCCATAAGAAGTTCTTGTTGAAGAAGGGAGACAGTGACTCACAGCACAATCTGTGGATCACAGTAGCTTTTTTTCTGTGGATTTAAGGCCAGCCTGCTCCAGACAGTGAGTTACATGCCAGCCAGGGCTACATAGTATGACTCTCTCAAAAAAACCAACAAGTAGGCAAAGCCACAAAACAAAAACACACAAGGTACATCTTTGTATGTCTTAGAGTTTGTCTGCAAAACATAGATACCCTCTCCCTAGCTATGACAAACATGATTATTTATCAGACCAAATGAACCCGGACAGAACTGAGTCACATGTCTAAAGGTACGTAAAAAAAAAAATCCACTTGCTGCCAAATAAATGGTTTGGTTCAGAATTTGAACAAATAGTTCCCGGTCTCAGGCAGGGTCTCCATATAAAGTACTCCTGGACAATATAGGGCATATAACATATAGTTTTCTCCAGTTCTTCTCCAGAGACAGACCATGCACAAAGTAATGGAGATCTAAACACTGCCTAAAAGTCACACAAATCTGACATCCATGACACCTGTGCCCCTAGTTCCCAGGGGACCCTGAATGAGTTAAAGTTTGCTGCGCCTATAAAATAAACAAGGAATATTGTTCAGGAGTGTTGTGACAGTTGGGTGTGTAGCTCAGTGGAAAATATGCACCAGATCTATGTGTGACACGTAGAACTCGGGGAAAGAGAGAGCTGGGCAGAGGCTAAGCAACCTTCTGCAGGTGCTACTGCAACCTCTAGAGGAGCTTCTCTCCCACTTTTGCTTCAAACAATAGCACCTGTGTGCAGGAGAATGCATTGTCTGCCACAGAGGACAGGGTCCCCCAGACCCTGTTGGGGAAGGACAACTGCTGTCTTAAGCAGGGGGTCAATATTCACACACTGCGTTCCTGTCTGCAGTATTCTCCACAGATTCCTGGTGTGCAACTAAGAATGACTTCAATACACATTCGGATAACAGGACAGGAGTGTAATGTACCCTGCTCAGCTGCTGGACTGGGCAAACTCTGCAAACTACTGAAGTTTGTCTTTGATCTCAGGGATTTTTTTTCTAAACTCTGGGAGTGTAGCTCAGAGGTGAAGTGCTTGCCTGATGTGCTCATCAGCACAGATAACAAAGTGATAATAATAAAGTCCTTCCACTCTTAGCCCCAGGACCCTGTCTGCTTCTCACAGGACTTGTGCTGACACAGCCAGCACTTCTCTGATCTTCTTTTTTTAAAATATTTATTTATTTTTTATGCATACAATATTCTGTCTGCGTGTATGTCTGCAGGCCAGAAGAGGGCACCAGACCTCATTACAGATGGTTGAGAGCCACCATGTGGTTGCCAGGAATTGAACTCAGGACCTTTGGAAGAGCAGGCAATGCTCTTAACCTCTGAGCCATGTCTCCAGCCCTCTTGAGTACTTCTTGAAGATTTCAAAATGACAGTCACTTACGTATGATCGTACAACTAGTGCGATAATCCCGTAGATCATAAGCACAATGAGGAAAACAAACATCACTCCATTTAGCATGGTAAAATCCCACTGGGGAGACACAAATAACAAGCATGACTTCATTATCATCCAGATCGGATCTCAAATGTTTTAAGATGCATTTTCTACCCCATGCACTATTGGCCCTGGCTGTTTCTTAGATGGAACTGCCTTAGCCCCAAACACTGAAAATTGCCACATAAATGATAAAACCATCCCCACCACACATCTTCATCGCGGGGAGGAGGGTTAGTTGAATGTAAGCTCAGCTGCAGTTCAAAGTCATTCATATGCAAACACACCTGGACTCGTCTTTAAGGTGTTTTTCAGCAGAATGTTTTGTTTCATAACTCAGGTCATTCTTTACCTGAGAGTGATTTAAATATCATGGGATATTGGGGGGAAATGCTCTGACATTTAAAAGGCTTTAAATAGCTCAATGAACCTATGTCTGTATCAGAAGCCCACCTCACTCACTGTAGGAAAACATGTCTGTTCACACATAGGTTGGCTTCTATTAGGACTATCCTTGAGATAGCAAATACTGATATGATTCTAAATTAAATTGAAGCTCTACTTTGTGTGTATGTGTGTGAAGTCTCAGGTCCACTTCAGGCTTTATTCCTTATGATTTGAAAACCATCTCCACTGGGACGTAGAGCTCCAAAATTTAGGCTAGGGGACTGGCCAGAGACTCCAGAGAGCCAGTCTCTACCTTCCCAGAGCTGCGATTACAAACCCACACCACCACACCAAGATCTTTACATGGACAACAGGGATCAAACTCAGGTCATGGTGTGTACACTGCAATCACTTTACTAACTGAGCCATCTCCCCAGTCCCTGAACCCTTACTTTTGATACAACTTGTCTAAATATTTTAACAATATTTAAAGGTCCCTCTACCTCTTGGGACCTTCCTTTTTCTACCCACAATGTCTAAATTCAGTTCTTGTATAAAGTTATGAGGTTTTCCAAACAATAGAAAAATATTCCTCTTTAGTTGTTAAACGGACTAAGGTGACACTACTCACTCCAAGTCTATAAATGAAAGACGTGGAAAGAGCCAGCTGAAACCCCCAGGTGCATCTTAAGGCTGGAGAGACTCTGACAACATGGTTAAAAAGAAATGACCATTGGTTGGAGTGTGGCTCTGAGCAGAGCGATCACCTGCTGGCATTAATAAGGCCCTCAGTTGGTCCCTAGCACCCCACCAAAATAAGAGCAGCCGTGAATCATTTTAGGGGTTAGTAGTGCTTCTGAGTCCTAATACCTGTGAAAATCTGAGAATTTTGAACTGCCATTTTGAAGTAGGGCCCCAGCAGGGTACACAGAACACACTCAGTGGCAGTGTAGGAGAGGTAGTTGGTGTGTAAAACCCACCTCCTGAAGAAGGAAGGAAGGAACTAGGTGAGCAGCTGTGGCTGCCTGTAGGGCCCAAGGAACAAGGACACCGAAATCTTGGAAGATGGGCTGTCGCAAGCTGGCCATGTAAGACAAGCTGCGAGTAATTTTGGCAATTAATGTGGCTAGCTCAAGAGGAACCTGTAGGGAGGACACCATGGGAATAAGTGCCTCTCTCCTCTATCCCTCTGATTTCCAGCTAAGGGTCCCTGGCCCGACTGCTGATAAGGCAAGAAAGCCATGCTGAAGAGGCCCATAAGACAGTGAGGCTGGTGTGGATGAGAATGGGCCAGGAGGGACACAGGAACACAGCCAGAGGCGCCCTTGTGAGAGAGAACTGTTTCAATAATACGTACTTTTGTTTGTAGAGCAAATAAAGTAAGCACTAATGCCACCAGAGTGGTTGCTCCCGCTGCCCATAGTATCTCTTCCGCTTTGTAGAAACTAGAACCAGAGATTGTAGTTACTGTTCAGATATATTCAGAGAAAATCATACACAATAAAATAGAAATATGGATTAAAGACTTACATTGACATACTCCCTAGCATGAGACCTTCCAGAAGTGTCTAAAAACAAAATTCACAGTAAGTCAGCAGCCTGTTTCTCCCAGCATGAGGACAAGTCCTAGACTGCAGAAGAAGTGACCAGTCATGCATGTGTGCATTTGGGCAGGATCTAGGGAGCAAGTGGGGAGGTGAGCACAACTCCAGGGCCACAGCTACAAAATGGTTAACAAGTACAACTAACTACTTCTACACTCTCTACTAACTACTACTACACTCTCCCTAGAACTGATGGAAGAAAATCCTCTCATTAGTAAGAACTTCCAAGCTGCAGTAACTTCCACATATTCAGTGCATGACCTATGTACTAACTGTGAGTGAAGAAACCAAGGTAAAAGGTTCGTTCGTGGACCACATACTCATTAGTCAAATGGGGTCTTCCACACACTGTCTACACAGTTCATCAGAGCAGCGCATGCTGTTCCCATTATTGCTTTGTCCACACTTGCATAATGCCATCTTCTGTGTTCCCTGCTAACATAAAATATTTCTTCAGACCTGGGATGAGAACTGAGATCACAGTGTCGAGATACGGTAGTTCCGGGATGACCGCAGAGGGCTGATGCCCTGAAGGATGCCCTCTACCCAGATGGAACCAGGCTGTGGGCAAAGTGGGAGACAGGTGGCACTGAGATACAGTGGGCGAGGAAGCCTGAGGGTGAGACTAAGGTAGTAATAGGCAGGCTCATTACCACAGACAGTGAGCAGCTGTCAGACTGAAGAGGTTTCCCAGCCCAAAGGACCCTCAGGAACTTGATCATCTATGGGAAGGACAAGAGGAGTCCTCTGCTCCCAGAGGTCAAAAAGGAGGGCACATTCTAAACAAAGTGCTGACACTATACTGGCTTTAGAGTTTCCCAATTCACTAGATGCTGAAGAAGAACTGGGGCCCAAAAGTCCTCAGCCACTTCTCTGGACTTCCCAGACCCAATGGGTGAGTGCCTCATGTTGTACTTGGTTAATGTAACTAAGAAGGTACTTCTTATATCCACCAGAGGAAAAGATTTATTCTATGTACAAATGATACCTCAAAAAATGTGCTTGAGAAGCTCCATGGGAGCAGGCACTGATCCAGTCCAGAGACATTGGCAGACCAGGATTGAGCCAGCAACCTGATCCAGAGCAGACCTGAGACAGCAAACTCCACCAGAACAGGTACAGGAGCAAGTGAGCCAGAGCCAGAGACTGCTGAGGGACTGAACATGAATTTGGGACCTTCAAGGGAGGAGACATAAGCCAGGAGCTCTGTGGGTCTGGACTTGAGTCTAGGACCTCCAAAGAACTAGGCCTGAGCCAGGACTTCTTCCAGTCTGGGCATGAGTCTGGGACCTCCAAGGGAATAGGCAGGAACCAAAGATCTCTGTGGGTCCAGGCCTGAGTCTGGGACCTCAGAGGGAGTAGGCCTGAGCCAGGACCTTTGTGGATCCCAGCGTTGGTCTGGGACATCAAAGGGAATAGGCAAGAATGTTGAAATAGGGGCAGCGGCAGGGCTGCGTCCCCAACATCCCGGCCACTTGGCTAGCTCATGCCCGAAATAACAACACACAAACTGTATTCATTTAAGAACTGCTTGGCCCATGAACTCTAGCCCTTACAGGCTAACTCTCGCACCTGGACTAGCCCATTTCTAATGATGTGTGTAAGCACCCCAAGGTGCGCTTACCGGGAAGATTCTAGCCTACGTCCATCCTGAGTTGGAGTTGCATGGGAGAGCAGAGCATGGCGGCTGTCCGGTCCCTCTGGAAGCAATGCAGAGTCTGACCTCACTTCCTCTTCCGCCCAGCATCCTATTCTGTTTACTCCTCCCATCTATGTTCTAACCTATCAGGGCCAGCCAAGCAGTTTCTTTTATTGCTCAGCCAATGAAATCAACAGATTGATATGACACTCCCACATCACTTCCCCTTTTTCTGTTTAAACAAAAAATAGGAAGGCTTTAACTT